GTAGTGTGTAACGATGTGTACTGATCAGTATCTCTTTGCCGCAAGGGTAAACAGGATGACTCTGCACTGCTAATTTTGAGTACAGCAGTTTTAGTCCAAAGGTTTGCTCATTAAATTTTCATTTACTACCTTCGACTGTGAATGCACCCTAATGCCTTTTCTTTGCGAGTCGAAGTCACTTGTCGGGATGAGCGAAGCGTCTGTGAACGTTTGGAATGTGTTATTGCTAAAGAAAACGAATTAGAAAGCTGTCAGTTTATAGACCAGTAGCAAGCCGAAATGATTGATGGGCTGCTTGAGGCGAATCCTGCAATGAAGCCGCCGAAGCATCGAGAAGAAAACCTTGAAACTGCCAATCGGCAGGACGAAAACGACTTTCTGGGATTATATCTTTAAAAAGAGCAACATTTTTTGAGAGCAATGAGCCACACAGAAGAAATTCGCATCAAAGTTTTGGCAAATTGCAGAGCCTCAAATCTACGCGAAATTTAACCGCAGAACTATGCAGACTTCAGATGACCTCTAAGCATTAGCTGCACGAACCGAATGGGCCAAGTTACGTAACGTTAAATAACACAGCGTAGCGCCAACTTCTTATAATAACGTTTTTCTCAGTTATAAATGATCAATCATTTCAATCATTTTCAGACCGCGCAATACGCAAACTGTAAGTTAACACGAAAACCGGTTTTGAAACAACAGATATTGCGAAGAAAACCTTGATTAACTTATACAAAAAGCAGTGTGTTGTTCAGACAAGGGYAAACTCCCGTCTACCTAAACAATGGGCTTCTTGTAAACACTGCACTGCAAGGGATTTGTCCCAGTGAAAAGTCCCTTCACCTGATTGGTTCACCAAGGAGGATATAATTCTGATTGCATCATCATGTACACCGATCAGTCGATCTCTTTGCGGCAGGGGTACAAAGGAAGACGCCACACTCTGAATTTGAGTCGAGAGATTCACCTAAGCCTCTAATCTTAGGTTTGTGCAACTTTCGTTTAATAATTTCGAGTGTGAATGGATTTGATCGCAATCCATTTTATTGCATGAGGTAAACTGCATCTTGTTTGAAGCCCCAAACACTGCTTCATCTGAAAGCACTTTCACATTCGTCACGTCACGAACCTACATGTAGGAAGTTATCTGCTGTATATTCAATAGCTGAGATTTCGGTTAATGCCGATAATTCAAAAATCCGCAAGAGTAAAGATTTCAGCGAGTAAAGATTTCAGCGTTATCCCTCATTGAGCTAGATTGAACACCGACTTCGATTTTTGCAGCGCACCA